GTGCCTTGGTTGTGGGCACATCCCCAGTGGGGGGTGTGCAGGAGACAGCTGATCAATGTTTCTCTCTCATCGATGTTCCTAACTCTCTATCCCTCTCCCTTCCTCTCTGTAAAAAAATCAATTAAAAAAAAACTTCACTGTATAATTTTTAACATAAAAGTATTTTTTTTCTTTAAGATGGAGAAAGAAATAGAAGGAAAGAGAGATGACCATGAGTCACAGAGGCTGAGCAGGGTACAGGAAGGACCTGGAGGACACTGGTCTTTGGGAGGCCCCCACGGGAGGGATGAGGTGGCCCTTGGCTGGCTCTCATTCTCCAACGGCCAGACCCAGAGAAGACCAGCAGGAAGCTGGTCCTCAAACCATCACACCCACCTGCTCTTCTGTGAGGAAAGCAACTTGGAAGAAAACCCAGTGGCCTGGAGGGTGCCCACCACCATCTCTTCCTGCCCTAAGAGCCCAACAGACTCCTGCTTTCGACAGGGTTCAGCAAAACAGGTTTTTGTCTCAGAACTTGAGAGCTAAAATTTCCCAGCACAGGGCCGAAGACGCATCCTGTTGCACTGTGAATTTTATGGAAGACAAGAGTTGTTCATATCCTAGAATGTGCTTCTCTCTGCCCCAACCCTTGAAGGAGGGCTGGATGGTCCCTGCTCCCCAGAGGCCACCGTCACAGCCAAAGCAGAAGGCGGGAGGAAAATAAAGCATCTGCCCCTTCTGCCTCCAGGGGCTTCAACCGAGCAGTCTCCTTTCATGCCAAGCCCGGTGCTGGATGCTGGACACCTTCCTCCCTGGTTCATCCAATCTCTGTGAGGGGCCAAGGAAACTTATGCCCAGAAATTAGATAAGTCCCTTGTGACCTAGTGAGGACCCCTGGTCTCCTGAGGACTGTCCTACCCTCACCAGAAGCCCCGGGCAGGGACCTGGGCTCCCTAAAGCAGGGAAAGGCAGCTTCCTAGACCTCTCAGCCACCCCATGCGCCCTGCAAGGCCCCACTCAGTCTGGATTAGGCACAGGAGTTCCCTGTAGGATGAACAGTCTGAGCCTGGTTCACTGCTGTGGGCTTGGTGCCTAGTAGGGGCCTGGCAAAGAAACAGGTATTAAGGGCTCCCTGCCCACTTGCTGGCATATTGGGAGGTAAGCCGTCGCCTCTTGCAGGAGAGGCCAGTTCAGGGTCCACCTGCCCAACTCGGAAGCACCTGGACCTGCCAGCCGCACAGCAGTACCGCTGAGGCCCTGGGTGGGGCAGAGTCCTCGCAGGAGGCCCTTGGAGGCACCAGGGGGAACTTAGAAATGAAGCGGCTGCAGCTTTGCAACTCGGAGCCCGAGAGCCAGGACTCGGGCCAGCAGGTCCCAGCTCTCTGTGGCTCCTTGCTCACGGTGGGGGGCCCAGCCCAGCTCTGAGGTGTCTGGGAAGAGAACGGCTTCTGTGGCCTCCTTTTCAGAGGCCCCTGCTGACAGTTCTACCGCAGTCACCTGTCTGACCTTCAAGCACCCATTGCCCCGCCCACCCCTCAGGGTGGTAGCTCAGGTGTGTGGCCCAATAAATCTCAGCTCAGACCCTGAGAGGAAGCCCAGGGCCAGGCAGGACGGATGGAGGTGGCGCATCCCTGAGTGGGAAGATATCACAAGTACGTCCTACACCCAAACCCTCAAGGCACTGGGGTGTGGGATGGGTGGTCAGGGAGTGGGCCTGCTAAGCCAATTCTTCAACTTCCCAGCCCAGGGGTCACACCGAGATGGCCAAACCTCTAGGCCACAGTACAGAACCCAAGAGGTCAGGACAGTCCCCACATGTTGAGGCAGCCCATGGCCGAAAAGGCCTGAGCAGGCCCCTAACCAGAGCCAGGTCACACCTGCCTTAGCGCAGACCCACGCTGCTCCCAGCGGCCTAGGGGCCATCCAGGAGCCTGCAGCCACGCGCCCCACCCTAGCAGAGTCAGCCTGGGGCAGGGGCTCCCTCACCTTAGGGTCCACACGCAGGGGAGTGTTCCGCTTAACGAAGGATTTGATGACACGGCTGCGGGAGGCCGAGGTCGGGGTCATGAGCATCTGGTTCCTCTGCATGGTGTGCAGGAAGGTCGGGACAGGCTGTACCACCAGCAGGCGGGGCCAGGGGCGGGGCCAGGGGCGGGGCAGAGGCCCTGAGGGCAGGCTGAGCCCCTCACCTTGCTGGCTGGACAGGGCGGGGAAGGGGTCTTGCTCCGGGGAAGCTGCAGCTCCCAACCCAGCTCACTCACAGCTTCCTTGTTGTTGAGCTTCCTCCTACGGGTGGGGGAGGCAGCAGCACCACGGGGCTGACCCGGGAGGGGGGCGGGGGCGGCCCTCCAGAGCCCTAGCCACACCCCATAAAAGTTCACCACTATTAAGAAAACTGGGACCAGCCCATAGCACTCTACCCTGCGGAGGCGGGGTCTCCCTGACTGGGCCTCCACTGCCCAGGCAGACAAAGGGAAGGGGCCGGTGTCGCATGGCCAGGAGGACACAGGAGGACGGAGTCTAGGATCCGGTCGCTTCTTCCCAGGCCAGGCTCGTTCCCAAGCATCAGGCTGCCTCTGTCATTAGGTCGGAGCACCAGGCCCCTGACCACACGCCCAGCCTCCCCAGAGGACTCGAGCTTCATGCCCCTCTGGGCCCCTCGGAATAGTGGCCCACACCCCTTCCCAGATACAAACCTGATACTCTGGGGTGGCTCCTCGGGGCCATCTGTTTGATGGATCTTGGCGTCTGTGAAGAGAGCGATTTCAGTGAGGGAGCAGTGCAGCATGGAGGGTCGGAAGGGGCCCACTGGGGGCAGCTGGGCAGGGCTCTCTCCTGGCAGACCCCAGGGTGACCAGTGGCAGAAGCATCAGCCTTAGCATCACTGGCCTGGGTAGATCTGTGGACATCCAGAGCCAACACGCAACCCCCAGCCCAGGGACTGCTCACCCCCAGCCCGGCCTCTGTGACGAGAACTCCAGGACAAACCAGGACCTGCCAGAGCTGCCTAACAGAGCTGGGGTGCCTTTCAGGAGCAGGAGCCTATGGAAGGTGCAAGCTCTAACAGACCCACTGACGAGCTTCCAAAGCCCACCTCCTGGCCCTCTCAGCTGGAGCTGACGTGACAGGAGGGGAGGGTTCCTATGCAGGGTCCCCATGGTGCGGGGGAGGGTTTTTTTTCCATTTTGTCTCACTGTCAGCACAAGCACTGATCCTTCCCCCGTCCTTTATTCCAAAGGGTCCTTGCAGCCCCCCAGGGAGCTGTGAGGCTGGCATGCCATTGTCCCTGACCCAGGGTCACGGGGGAACCGAGTTCAAGACCTCGCAACTACAGTGCTCTTCCCACCAGGGAGACATGAGCTGGACCCCAATCAGGAAGACTCACCTCGCTGCCCCACGGAGGGCTTGTCCTGGCCACAGGCCGCAGGCTGCAAGCCGGGCATGCTAATGACAGTCTTGGGGGCGCCTCGGGGCCACAAGGTACTCTCTTCATTCTTGGGGACCTGAGGGAAGAACCAAGACTGTAGGGGACTACTTCTCTGTAGACAGGGACCCACAAAGGTGAGAAGTGAGCCAGCGGCAAGGACAAAACAAGACGCCAACACACAGCTTCTGCTGCTGCCGCCTTGGGACTACCCACAGGCTTGCAACCAGGGCAGCAATGGGCAGTGGCAGCTTGTCCCGGGCAAACCCCGTGAACCTGTCCCCAGCCCCCTTTTCTGTGACTTCTTAGGGAGCCAGAGCAGTCCAGCCTAGGCTCGTTTACCCACCTAGTCCTTCTCCTGTTGCTTCGACTACCCTAGACCCTTCCTGTTTCTTTAATTAATGTACTCTGAAATTAAAAATAAGCCCTCGTCGGCTTTTCGGTTTGGCTCCGTGGATAGAGCATCGGCCTGCAGACTGAAGGATCTCAGGTTTGATCCAGTCAAGGGCACATACTTGGGTGTGCGGGAAGCAACCAATCAAGGTGTCTCTCTCACATCAAAGTCTCTCTCTCTCCCCTCTCTCTCTCCCCTCTCTCCCTCCCCCTCTCCCTCCCCCATCACTCCCTCCTCCTTCCCTCCCTCCCCCTCCTGCTCCCCCTCTTCTTTCTCTCAAATCGATAAAAACATATTTTTAAAAAATGGACAGGCACTCAGCCATGAGTAGTGAGCATGCACGTCACCGTGCAAGCCGGCGGACAGGGACGTCTACAGCACGGAGTCTGGGGGGGGTGGATGCTGAGAGAT